CAGCCGCCTCCCGCCGCACCAGGGCAGCAAAACTTCACACCGGCTCCGTCAGGTACCTGAACTTTTCAAGACACGTCCAGTATAATCATTTCCAGAAATATAAAGCGCCTAGTGATAACAGCAACAGGATTACGATCCTGTTGCCTGCGAGTCGGGCGGTTAAAGCCAGGTCTATTTTTAAATCCTAACGCTATTTTCTGCTCTGCGAGCTTGCGGTGGAGTACGGTGCTATTAACGATCAACCTCATCCCTTTGTGAAGTCCGCGGCTCGTACAAGCCATCTAGACACAAAGGAGGAAAATCTGAATAGATTTACATCTCTCGGCGGTGGCACCAAGTGTAGCTGATGTCGTGTTCAGCACTTAAGTGGCTTGCATTTTTTTTAAAAAGCCCGACATGGTTTAAAATTCCGCTCTGGCGTGAGAAACAACACATTTTACCGTCACCATCTTTTTCCCGCCTGGAGTCCTCCCGGGCGTACCGTGGCCCAGCTTTGGAAGGGAGGAGGCCGGTGCCCGGCAGCCCGGGCTCGGACGCCACCGGCCCCCCTGCCCCAGCCCGGCGGCGCGGGGAGGCTTCAGCCCTGACCATCATCGAATCCTAACCCCCACACCTCCAGCGTGCTCCCGCCTCCCGGTCATCGGGAAACGTCTAAATTAAGCCACGTATTCATTTGCTTAAGGAGATGATATTCAAATAATAAGCAATTAGGTGCTTGCATAGTAATCCCAGCCACACGTCTCCATAGCCCAGCGCCGCGACTGACCACAAACAAGTGATCACACAGCCAGAAGAAAGCAGGAGAGGCAGATTATTGTCTAACACGAAACTGTTCACCGCCAAGGACCTCAGCATTGTTAGCTTCTTAGTTGTCTGACATTAACCGTAATCGTATCTGCACTCCGGTTGTAATTAAGCCGTTGGAAATTATCATGTTTTGCTGCTTTTGGAAAGGACTCCTTTACAACCTAGATTCACAGGCAGGTGAAAGGAGCCAGTCCATTAAAAAAAAAAAAAGAGAGAGAGAGAGAATATTAAAAAAAAGGAAGAAAAAAACACAGGGTTTTTTTGGGTTTTTTTGTTGGTTTTTTTTTTTTTTTTTTTTTTTTTCTTGAACCGAATGGCTTGTG